ATATTTTCTAATATTTCAGGATTTAATTTAGTTCTCTGCGCAGAGAGTATAAACTTAAGGCTTGAAAATGCTCTTTATACGGAGACCTGCATAGCTGGAACTGCTAGCACAGTTATAGCTAACTTATAAAGTTCTGGCATACTATTTTTTACATTTTCCCAATAATTCAAAAGATTAGTATCTTTTCTTCTAATCTCTCTATATTATCAAATGACCGAATTATATATTCTATTTCTATACATTTATTATAATTTTCGATGCCCTGAGAATTATTCTTATTAAGACTTTCATGCGACTTTAATAAATCTTCAAAATCATCATCTAAATTATCCTTCGAATAGGAACACGTAGGCATAGTATTTAGAATTTATTCTGATTATTTAGATTTTGTATCAAGTTCCAAGTTTTACAAAGATGTTTTCTGGCGATCTCTCTTTCTTCAAAAGTTAAAAATACATTATATCTAGGGTCGAGATAAATAGCAGAGCAAAAAACTTCATTTTTGAAATTTATTTCTCGTGCTTTCATCGTAGAAACTAAAAGTCTGGCAAATGGAGTGTCTACTTTACTCGTTTGCATGAGACATTTGATCCACGCAGCATAAAAATCGCCCATTGTCAATTGTTCACTTTGTAAATATTTTGTCAAAACATAAGCTGGATATAAAGCTTTTAATATGTCACTAATTATTTTAAGATATCTTATTTAATATTAACAGATAAATTGTCTAATCTATATAAATTAAGTATTTAAAGAAAAAACAACAAACCTGGTATTATTTGATATATAATGTTGATAATATAAAAATATTTTATTTGATATATAATGTTGATAATATAGAAATATTTAATTTGAAAAGAAATCACCAATTTAAAAAATGCCCCCAAGGAAAATTAAAATTTTAAATTTAGGTTAATAATTTAAAATTAATTATTTTTAAAACCGGTTTAAAATATTTATAACGGTTCGGTTCGCTCTTTTAATATTTTCTTCATAACGGTTCGGTTAAGGTTACGGTTCAGAAAATCATAACGGTTCATTCCGGTTTTGCGGTTCGGTTCGGTTCGAACCCCTGGTTCGGTTCGAACCCCTGGTTCGGTTCGAACCCCTGGTTCGGTTCGAACCCCTGGTTCGGTTCGAACCCCTGGTTCGGTGTATTATTAATAATTAAATCTATCTATCTATAAGAGAAGTGTTATTAATTTTATATTAATATCTAGAAAATTTCCCCTGCTTATAATAAGTTTCTTGTTTTACCGATAAAAATTAACATCATTATTGGTTTGTCTTTTTTTTCCCATAAACATTCAATTATCATGATAATATTAAAATTATAATTATTAAAAGGATTTGTCTCATTTTTTTATATTATTTAATCCTTAAAAAAACTAATCTTTTTTTGTTTGTTGATATTTTGCTTAAAGATTAAAGTCTGGTTTGCAGGGGATATAAGGCAAAAAAATTAGAAATTATAATATAAGAGGAAATTTATTTATCTATTTTTTTCTTTAAACTTAAATTTATGTTCCTTTTGGGGGGGGGGGGAGAAATGTCCAAAATGACACTTGTACTTTGCAATTATTTTAAATTAAAATGACAATAATACCCTTATTTAATATCACATAATAAATCATGATAAAATAAAAATGGAATATGATTTTAGAATAATAATAGAAAATTAAGATTTTAACATGGGAGACATTTATAAACCTTGTTTTAAAATATTATATTTAAAAAATAAATAAAAGGTATACGGTACCAGGGTTTCAAACGGGACCGCCAAACCGGAACGAACCGTTATAACTTTCTGAACCGCAACTTTTACTGAGGCATTATAAAGAAAATATAAAAAGAGCGAACCGAAAAATTTATAAATATAACCGGTTTAACCCGGTTCATAACGGTTTTTAAAAATAACTGATTTTAAATTAGTAATCCTAAATTTGAAATTTTAATTTTCCTTGGCGACAAATTTAAATTTGTGATTTCTTTTCAAATTAAAATTTTTTTACAATTAAATTGCCATTATCTTCATATCAATCAATACCAAGTTTATAGTTTTTACATCATATACTCAATTTAATAGAGAACAAGCAAATTACTAGTTAATTAGATAATAATTATTTATTATAGTTAAGTTAAATAAGGAATTATAAAAATATAAAAAGCTCTAAGATTAATATATGATTTCATATTAATTTTTTTTAAAACTCAAATATATAAAAACTGGAACTAACCTAGAAGAACCGTTATAAATTCTAACCGAACCCAAACAAGTATTTAAACTGAAATGGAACTTAACGGTTCGAAGCCCTTTATTGAACCGTAACTTGGAGAAAATTAGTGAAGAAAGAAATGGGAATGGTGATCCCGAGAGCATTGGCCTAATGGTTTCGAAACGTACCGAAAAATATCATTAGAATTGTATATTAACATAATTATTTATTTTCTACTTAATTCCAGTTTGCTTCATAGAGATCTCTAAAACCCGACTTGGCCCGGTGACTGTTAAGAATTTTTAAAAAAAATATCATAAATAACTTTCCCCTCTTCAGAAAAAAAGAAATTGTGGGTTTTTTTTCTGGGAAATTATTATCCGCTCACTACATTATATTTTTTCCAAATGTCAATTAAGAAGCTTTTATCTCTCCTCTATGGCTATCTATTTCTTCAACAACCGTTAAAATTAGGTTTAATATTTGTATTGTGTATTTGTAGTTGTATCGATCATATCATAAATGACTTGTTTATTTTATTTTTTTTTGTAAATTTACTATATTATTTATAGATTTAGTATTTTAGTCAGACAGGTCTTAAAATAAAAGAAATAAGCACATATTGTAAAATATTTTCAAATAGTATATTAATCCAAATATTAACTAGAAATTCAAAAAAATATATCAAACTTTTATTTTCCGCGCTGGCCGTCCTATAACAATTATATAATAAAAGTTTTAAATTTCAATGGATAAAGTGTTGAAAGGTGTGTCTCAACACACAAGTTAATGTTAGCACTACCGAACAAATATATATGATAATCATAGAAAATGTCCTATAATAGAGTAAATAAATGGGTATGTAATACAAATTGCGGGAATAAAATTAGATATTCTTTGGGATCGCGTAACGGAGCGTTCTGAATCATGAAAACGAAACATTTTTTTTAGCAGGAATGTGAACGTTACAGATACGCATCTGTAAAACACATTGTATTTGTATATGTCGGAGGGCGGAATTTTCGCAGATTTTTAAAATTTAAATAATTTATAAGGATAGCATTTTTAACATCATCCATTTTTACCAGAATCGTATTCTAGCATATATAGAGTATGCCTACTAACATCCGAATTTCTGATAAATTTCTCCTTGAATTTTTGTGAATTTATAGTTTTTTTAGGTCACATAACTACTTTTTAGAAACAGTTACTTTAAAAAAAAAATAATGTCCTTATCGAAATGGACACTATGTTGGCTAAAAAACGCTATTATTAAGGAAAGCTTAACGATAGATAAATAAGTTTCAAACTCTAGGAAACAAGTTTTCAAGTTATTTGGTAACTGCTGGGAAAACTACTTTATTGATCACCCATTTGATTCATTGAATTATCTCTGGTCCTCTTTAATTTATCCCCATTATCTCTATTTACATTTGACATGATAAGATTATTGCCAAAATTAATCATGAAGTGGTATCTTTAATTTTATTAAAAATCAAAGAAATCATCAATTAAGCTGTACTCTGGTTCGACTTAATTTTGATATTCTGGTTGGTTTTAACTAATTGATGGCATTGTTATTTTTTGTATTTTCTCGTTATTTTTTAGGCCATTTTTTTTTAATCTACGGGCTGCTTATTAATAAGTAGAACCAGGACACTGCTTAAGGGCTATAATTTTTATACTTATGGATTTCTTAATATTTTACCCAGATTATTAATCTTTTTTAGGTCAGGGAAAAGTAATTTTAAATACGGAATAAGGTTAGTGAAGGTTGGTCAAAATTTTTTAAGAAAACTCAGAAGATAGAGGAAAATAAAAAAAATTGCAGATCATTATCAAACAATTCAATAAAAAAGATGGAACCCATTGCCTCGATTTCAAAATATATTGTAATTATAAACAAAATTTGTAACCAAATAACTCTAACACCCCATATCTATCCCTTTTCCATCCCGCTAGATTATAATGGTCCCTTCTAATAATAATTTCGCTCGAAATCTATATCTACGCATGGCGATACACTAGTATATACTTCTGAGTTGTTTAAGCAATACTAAAGAATTTCGGCATTATCTACTTTCAATAGAGGCGAGAGTGAAAACCACTTTAAAGGGCTAATTGGAATCTAGACTAAAAAATTCTGATCCGATTTTGAATATTTTTAAAAGATAGTCATAATTGAAGTTTTAAATTGGTTCCTAGAAAAATTTAAAAAATTTTGATTTCCGGTTTTTATTCATGATGCATGGTTCGGAAGATTTATTTCGAGATTTCGGGTTCTTGTTCTAAACTTCCTTAATAACCAAAATAATCTTTCTTTTAAATCGAAAATGAACCAAAACCACCATTTTGATCAATATAGGAAATGAATTTAAATCTTATTAGAACTGGCTGATTTTAACTCGGACTCTGTCCAGAGGGGATTTAGATTTTGGCTACTATTCCTAGATTTGTTTGTTCTGATGGTTTTACAGATTCATATTTTATCTTGTTTCTGGTAGCATTAGGTTTGATGGCAATTATTTTAAAACTCATTTATATTTATATATAAAAAAATTATTGTATTGATTTTCTAAATAACTAAATCATTTTGCTACTCCATGATCATTAAACTCAGGGTCGAATTAGAGATAATGATGATAAAAATGGTTGGTTTTGGAATAAAAAAAATTAAAAAAAAACATTTTAATATTTATGAGAATATAATTTCAATTTGAGTATATAACCAAATTTCTTTACCCCCCCCCCTACCCTTAAATAAATTAAATGCTTCAGTGATACCTTTTTCTTATTCTGATTTATCAAGTTATCTCGAGCGTCTAAAGCATTTCCAGGCGCTTTTCTTCCCCAGATTTTAAACGCGATTCTGGAATAAACGCACAACATAAAGGATAATGGGAAAAAATATTGAATGAGGCTGAGATATATGAAGTAAATTTTGCGACTCATATCCGAGGGCCAAATAGGAACACATAAAATTCTGTATGAGGGATTAAATGATCGAGAAACAGCTGTGCCATAATTTAGTGTAGAACTATCTTTATCATAAGGTCTGCTCTGTAGATTATTTTCTTCGTATTTTGCTCCTCCTTGCGAGAAGGTTGTAATTAAGTAGCGGATTTGATCTTTCTTAAATAAGGGATTAATAATAAACTTTTTCGGATGAGTTTTATTTCGGCTAAATCGTTTTTTATAATGAATCATCTTGTGATAATTATGATGGTCTTGAATAAAATGGGATTTAATAGGAACGCTCTGGTTAGTGTAATCGTATTGAGGCAAAATATAAGTGTTTGACGTGAAAAAATGGCTTTTTAAATGATTGTGACGCTTTTTTATGTATATCTTTTTGGTTTGATATTTTGTCATTAAATTAATTTCAGGGTTGTCGGGGGAAAATAGTTTCAAATTTGGTTTCGAATAGTCGACTCGATTAAGAGATGCAAAATGTTTATCGCCGTGAATATGTTTGTGAGGTGAGTTTTTTGAAATGTAGAGTGGTGAATAATTTGTAAAGTCTGGGTTTGCCGACTTTAATCGGTTGAGCGTATAAAATGTGAAAGTTTCACTCGCGTTGACATTTAGGGCCGAATCCAGCATCTGTTTATTACTCAATTTAATGATCCTGAGAGTCAGGGCCATGGGTAAAGATGAGAGTAGGGACAGAATCCAAAATAAAATCAATATAATCTTGGCCGTATTCTTGGAAAGAAGCCTAGGCTTTAGGGGCCTCATAACTGCCGACCACCTATCTAATGCCACTATTGTCAGAGTCAAAACGCTAACGTTTACGCACAAGGTTTGGACGAAAGGGGCCAAGGGACACATTATGTTTGGCAGCACCCATCTCTGCAGCAAAGCGGCTTGAAACTGAAAGGGTACGCTGAACATACCGATCACCATATCGGCGATGGCCAGGTTAAGCAGAAAGTAGTTAGTCACGGTTCTCATTTTATGTCGACTGAGTATTATCCAAATAACGCAACCGTTTCCAATGATGGATGTCAGCGAAATCATTCCGTAAAGTATGGACATCAATACAAGAGGGCCGACGGAAAATTCGTAAAGAGCATCTTTGTCAACTTCATTTTCCCCCCATTTCCTAGTGTAAATGTGGTCTGGATAGGTGTTAAAATCGTAAAAATTACCATTTCCATGATGAGGCGGATCGAATTTGATGTTTGTGAACAGAAATTGATTAATCTTGTGGTGATTGCTTTCGGAGTAATGTTTATAAGAGATGTTTTGCAAACCGGAGGGTAGAAATTTTAGCATTTTTCTAAATTCTCCTTTCCTTTTTTCTTAAAACAAAAGAAGGATAGATGATGCGTATTGATATAAATGCAAGAATTTTCATTATTATTATATCCTGTTCCCCTTATAAATTAATAATCATTTTTATGCAAAAATAAATTAGTTTTTTTTAATAAAAAATGATAAATTAAAAATGACAAAAATTTCCTTCTTTTCTTAACTGTTCTACTTTTATATTATAATTAGAAGAATAGGTTAGAAATTTTAAGATTTTAGAAATATAAAATATAAATGATAAAAAATAAAATTATATAATAAAAACAACAAAGATGATTTTTTATATATATATTAAAATAATTGCAACTATATGAATTTATCACATTTTTGAATTATAAATACAATTTATTCTTTTTTAATATAATAATAATTAGTAAATACGATTCTAATGTTATTATTGGTGAATTATGTTATGACTTTAGGTATAATTTATATAATATAATAATTATTAATTAGTTTCTCTAGTAGATCTTTCTCTTTTTTAAATATAACTTGTAATTTATTTTTTGATAATTTTATATGCTCAATCGATAATGATGATATTACACATATACATAAGAAGGTTAATTGAAATTACTCAAACGAAGTAGATCTGTAGATTCATATTTGAGATTACATAATTTATGCGTATTTCATAACGGGGGGAGGGGGGTAGATCTGGAATTCTCACTTATCGGAATCTTTTAAAAGAGATGAGGATATTAGAATAATTATAAGCGCAACGTTTTAGACTGCTCATTAGTTAGCCGTTATGTTAATGAAAATCATAAAAATATATACAGCTTTCAATCTTTGAATGAACAAATTAAAAATTTATTATAGCTTTATTGAACAAATATTTTAATTTATAAAATTGGTTTTCAAAATTTCTCCCTAAGCATTAACTCCCGAAAGTATTGGGAAAACATTATACTTTTATTTAAAAATTCTGTGTAAATCTAGATCTAAAAAAACGATCCCTCTTTACTAAGTCTTACATCTTTATTAAAGATAGATTTAAAGATTTTATAATTTTAAATATTACAAACCATATTTACTATATAAAAAATTACAACTAAAATGAAAAATAATTCTTTGTGATATCTCTGAGACCACCCATTTAGCAACCTTTTCTGTCAAATTCTTCCCTTTAGACAGACTATTTTATGTATTAATGTTTCCTCGATAAACATTGCTAAATATAATATCACATCCTCTGACCTTTCTAGGCCTAATTCTTTTTCTATTAGACGAAGTTTTTCATACATTCGAAACATTCATTTTCAAAGGGTTAGATGGCTTCAATCTTTCTCTTTCACAACTTATTAGAAAACGCCAACTCTAATAAAAACGAATTATTTATGAGTCTACCCTTTTCGCAATTAAATTTTAACTGATACCCTCTCATTTTTGGTCAAGCTTTATTTTTTGGTACTGGTCTGGTTGCCTTAACAAATCCAGAGTGTGGAATATGCATTTTATTGTTGTCTGCCTGTTTATTCTTTCTTTATAGGATAGTCTTAAAGATAATCTAGATGATTAAACTCATTTTTCTTGTCACTTTCTCTCCTTGCTAAATTAGCTTTGCTATTATGTTGATTATACCAATTGCATTAGTATTTACTTCAATTCAAGTAGCGCCTTCAACACTATTAGGCGTTATTTTTTCTTTTCTGTTTTCTAATTCCTTTTTTCAACTTATTATCCTTTTCTTCTGTTACATGTATGTAACATTTCAATTTAAAGTTTTTTATTTATTATTGTCTTAAGCGTTATAATACATGTACATTTAAATAATTACTGTTTAAGGCAATAATGTAGATCATGATATTATGTAAATTGGATATTTAGTTATATTAAATGTTATTTAATTATATATATGTATAAGATATTATTTCAGAAAAAGATTATCATTAAATTTTTATATTATCGAATTTACTTATTTTATCAAACAAATAAAATCTTGTCATAATAAACATTAATTGTTAATTTATATGAAAGAAATCTGTGTTGATAAAAGTTAATAATAAAACATACATTCTCAATCAATACTACCGATTTAGAAGTTCTTATATTATCAAGCACTACTACCGGCCCAGCATGGTTGAGAATCTAACCTGTAATTTATCAATTACACCATAAATTCTCAATTGGGCGTTTAACAAGGAGACTTCCTGGAACTACTCCTATTTAATCTGAGTATCAATAACCTGATCTCTATTAAAAGATTGATTCAGTTATGATATTAATAATTGATCATTGGTGCCTGAGTGACGGTTTCCCTTAGCAGCAACAATATTTTAGACCTCATCACTAGTTTGAGCCTTTATCTGAATCGCAGCAAACTCGAGATTTTATCTCCCTCTTCATAAAATCTCTTGTTTCAAATCAGGGCACCCAAGGTTCTTATATTTTAGGGACTCCTATTAAAGGGGGGCTTTTTTTCATAATGAATTTCTTTATCACCTACAAAATTTTACTAATATTATTACCATTGATGACCTTCCACATCAATAAATATTTTATTCTTAAAAAAATATCTCGATCTTGCTAAAATGTCTTTCATATTTAGAACCCGTCGATCTTTGCTAATATTCCCTTGCTCATTGACTTCAAACTAAAGTTTAAACCATTACTAGATAAAGGTACTAATTTATTTTTTCAGAAAAAAAAATTAGCTGTTCGCCTCCCTTCCCCAAATGATGGAGGATTTATACCTCTTTTCCATGCGTCTCCGAGCTTTCTCTCTTTGGGTTAATTTTATTAGTTCAAAATATCGGAATTCATTAAATTTCCTGATTGCTTAGTAGAATTAGCTGGGCAAATAGACCGAGTTCTACCCCCCCCCCCAGCATACCGTCTTTTCCCTTGCTTCCCAGAAATTATTCTGCTTTGCCAAGAACTACACTAGTTATAGATAGAAGGAGAGGATTGGTCATTTCCGATACCTCAGTACAAGGTCGAACTGTAAGAGAATATCCCATTCAGTCCATTAATATTAATACCATTTCACACAATCAGTTAGATTGGAATTACATTATAGACGGAAGAGGATTAGCTATTTTCAACAAGGTCAAACTGTAGAAAAATACCCAATTTAGAAGATAAGTATCAATAGTATTTTATTTAACAAAACTCAAATTTAATTAATATCATAACATCTCTGTTTATCATCAGACTATAATTTATTTTTAAAATTGAACTCTTAATTGAATGCATTTTAAACACTCTCATTTCAGTATAAACTAAATCAAGCTCATCTGTCTATTGATAATTTTTTTATGGTAACTCAAAATTTGGTCAAATAATACTTTCCTATGTATTAATATTAAATATCATTATTTATAATAAGTTACCGTACTTGTATTTTTTTCGGTCAATGTGTCACTTTTTCATTGATTAGTTCTTTGTGGGCGTTTTATAAATTTAGGATTTGATTTACTGAAAATGATTTCAGCATGTAATTTTATCGTTAACCTTTCACCATTTGTAATTTATAAGAAGGATTCTTTGGAAAAAAGAATATAATTATATTATAACAAAGTTTATGGCAAGATTAAAATCACAGTATATCTTTTAGGAACATGCCAGAATGCATTTCTGGTGCAGATTTTTAAATTAAAAAAAAAGCCCATTAATATACTCTTCTTTTTTATCATGCTAATAACTTGTTGGGGTCTTTAAAACGTGTCCTATCTTTCCATAAAGCTCGGCCTTTGGTCATATTGACGACAATTTTCTTATCCAACATGTCCTTGCGGATTTGAAAAAACCAAGTTAATGGTGATCTGCCTCTAGTTCGTTTGCCATAACTACGTGAACTTGCCGATTCATGTCATGTTAGATGGACCATCTTAATTTTTGTGCGAAAATGTTGTTAGCCTGTTATGTGAGGAAGCTTATGGGAATACAAATACTAGATAGGGTAATTCAGGGTTATTGATGATGATAGAATCAACGCGTATTGATAGGTTAGAATCAAATTAAAGGACAATATAGTGGCTAAGAGTAAAACTATTTTTGGTAGTTAAAATAATGCATATACTGCTAGTTAAAAGTTATGAATTTTATTTTTTCAAAGTCAAGATGAGGACATATAGCATATCTTTTAATAGAGATCTCTTATATATGTTCTAGTACTTTTAGGTATAACATGTAAGGTTTTTTGTTGCAAAGAATGTTACAATATTATCCTTGCCTCAAGAAAGGTGCAATAAAGAATTATGAAGAAATGTCTTGCCTAAATCACCAGGATCATATAGATACCTACTCGATTGTCTTCTACTATTACCGATTCTCGCGAACAATTAGCACAAAAGATCATATCAATCCTAAGTAGAATGATATCCTCAGATAAAAAAACTTCTGCCAGAATTATAATGCTTAATGCAAAGGGATTTATATCATGAATAAGAATGTCTAAGTTTCATATGATAATAGGATTATAGGCAAGATTTGGTAACCTCTTTTCATTGCAATCTTTCTAAAGCATAAAATTCTGCAAATCGAAAATCAACATTATTTTGCCATAATAATTAAGAAGATTGTTGATATATCTATGACCTGAGAATATCAGAAACTAGTGCGCAAATTGGCCAAAAAATGTATAGTCATGAACGGGAATCTGGCTAGGCAACCATCCCGAGCCGTCAAAATATGACTATTTTAAGGGTGGCGAAATTTTGTTAATTAACCATTAAAATTAAAATAAATATCTAATTCTAAAATTACAATTCTCATACACTCTTTCATTTCATAGCTTCTCCACCTCCATGCTAACTCTAATAAGGGCAGACCCGATCTCATGCAATGAGACCTATTAGTTTAGAGTTATTTATAAATTAGGCACTTGAATCCATTCCCGTGTCATTTACACACACCATGATGCAGTCTTAGCTAAAAGTATAATTTAAAAAAAATAATGAAATACTTTGTAATAATACCATATCGATTATTCCCAATTTTAGGTTTTTAAAAAAAAAAGATGTGTATACGTTCCTTATATTTGAATGCACGTATAATTATTAAATATGATGTTAAAATAACATTTTATATCTTGAAGAATAAAAATTGAATAAAGGACTAAATTA